ACAGACCTAGACGCCATCTGTGAGAAATCTTTTCCCAATTACTGATTCGAAGAGAGCAATAGAAGAGCTTTTAGATCCCCCGCTTATTAACCAAAAAAAAAAAAAACGATTATGTTATCAGCATGCTTGAATGGCATATTGCTAATCCTATATGCGTCCCTTCAAAACAATTTCCATCGGTGTATTGCTTTGTGCTTATCATTTTACTGTTTAACTGGAAAACCAACGAACACTTAGCCATCATTGGTATATATAATTTCATCTGTTCTTTTATATGTTCAATATATAATGATATGATAATTATTGTTTTAATTAATATCCTTCCCTCTGGTTTTATTAATGGCTTTCTACCGTTCCATTCTTCGAAATCGATAAACGGTTAAAGCGTCCCGTAATCTCCGTGGAGTTTAACATATTTTTATTAAAATTGTTATGTTTTCAATTTAAGTCAACTTGTGAGTAAAACGTTTCATCCTCAACAAGTAAATTTGCTCTAAATCTTGCGTAACTCGTTCTCATTCAGTTTTCCTGTCCATTTCCATATAAAGCGCGGCAGGAAGTTCATTAAGAAGTCAAGTTGAATAAAGAACATCTTTAAATAATTCCGCACGACAGCAGTCTACTTCAGGACATATGCAACTGCGTAATTTCCAGTGGTGTCAGAGTTCGATGTTAGAGTACACACACACACACACATATATATATATATATATATATATATATATATATATATATATATATATGCGAAGTCATTGCCATTCATAAAAATAGTCGAGCTACTATCCAAACCACATGGCCTGAAATTCAAATATCAAACAGACTCTTGCCACTTGGTGTGGACTTCACTGCCCCCCATCCATATATATATATATATATATATATATATATATATATATATATATATATATTAAAAAAACTATTTTATATATAGATACGGAGAGAGATATATGGTAATAGAATTACAATATATCGCACATATGGTGAAGGTGTTAAAGAAACAATATTCAATATAGTGAAATAGAGCCAAAATATATGTATATTAATAAATACACATAATATCTCACACCTCTAGCACGAGATTTATGTACGACGAAATCTTCAGAAGCAGAATTCAAACGACTGTTTTACGGTTTGAATCAAAATATATCTGGCTATCTCAACGCTGATGCGGTGATACAGGGTTTTTTTTTCATTACAAGTGTTTTTAATATTGAATAGTAAATTTAAGAAACATAAGTGGGAGAAAAATAGGAGAGAAGAAAATATTAAGTATGAAAATAAAATTTAAAATATAATAAAATGGAAAAAGAAAAAAATAAGTAAATGGAGGATAAAAAAAATCAAATAGTCAAAGGGATAATTGTAAGGACCAAGAAACAACGGTGAAAAAGACGGTAAAAAAGCGGTATATAATATACTGGGAAAATAGACTGGGAAAACAGAAAAAAGTAGAAAAGAATCAATAAAGGTTTTAAGGGGAAAATGGTGTAGTATATTTAAGGAGATGTTTATTTTTGTGTCTGAAGAAATTATTAATTCACTCTTCTGATTCAATAATTTAGGTTTTTTGTTTTTTTTAGGATAACTAGTTTTTCAGCTGAACAAAGACAACAACAGTCGCCTTTTCCGTTAAAACCTTAGCCCTAGAAAAAATTTCCCAGTTAATAGATGGTGAAAGTTACCTATCTTTCAGTTGAAAAAATATTTAGTGAGAGCAGTACTGTGTTAATATATTACGTTTTTTAAAGTCATTTGGTGATGGTAAAAACGCAGTTTCCAAGGGTTTTCTGTGGATCCAAAGCAGAATTTAACATTATCGGAATGTATGTTTGCTTCGTAGATAATGTTGTCAGTGATACAGTGACTGTTGAGTGGACATATCGTACTTCTTGGGCAGTTGTATTTACTTACAGGGATATTAGTATTATTATATTTTAGAAAATGTTTGTTTAATATAAAATTGTTCTAGTGGGAAATGGCTGGGTCTATGTTATTAACGCATGCATAGCTAATTTATCATTGTTCAGGTTAAAGATCCGTTTCAGTGTAGTTGAATGGTTGAAGTATTTAATTAAGTTTAGGAAAAATCTGTCAATGTTAGTTTTAATATAACGACTGAAGAGTGGACTGAACCATATTATGTTGCATTTGCGGTGTTTACGTTTCTTATTCCCTTCTTTGTTTAAGTCGAAGTATTATATACGTATTTTATGGTGGCTTAGTTCTAAGGCCTGTGTGTATTTGTTTTGTTTATTAAATATGTCCTTATTGCTAGAGTTGGTAGTCTAAATTGTACAGATTTATGTAAGTTATCTAGAATCGTGTTGGGGTGATTGGACAATTTGCTAACATATTTAATAATGCATAACTCGTTAGTGTATGGTTTATAACAACCATTATTCAAGTCTACATTTACATCTAGGAAGTAAATCACTTTTCTATTGGCGGTGATGCTTACTTCGTGATCGTAAAAAAATTAAGTAATTCTTTTCTCAATCGATCTTCTGTGAGTTTACTTTACAGATTAAGATAACATCATCATCTCTAAGTCATCGGTATCAAAAAGAAATCGAAGTCGCCATAATAATAAAATTCACACCAATTTGCATGCCGCCGCTGAGTGAAACGAGCCCATGATTATACAAAATTCCGTGTTAGCTTTCTTGGTCCATAGATGTCCATGGTGGAAAAGGATGAATTTCTCTGCCTGTTTGACGATTTTAACCTCGCAATCACTAATGGGGAAGTAGGTTTTTGCTCGCTTAATGGCTGATATTAGTAGATTTTCAGTTATAGATGGTCAAAATTATAAATGTCGAATTGGATGAATGTACATTCATTTTTATTTTTTATATTAGTAAACTATTCATTTGCATCGGCCGTTTTATGCCATTGATTAATTCCAACAGCATTTCTGGCGTATAAGCATTCTCTTTCAGGGATGCTTTTACTAATCATTACCGATGTGATTTTGGGTTGGATTGAGTAGTCGCAATTGTGGTTCGTTAACGAAATTATCTTTACGTTCTTTAATAGTAATGGATGCCTCTTGTTTTTTGAGTTTGGGGATCCTGTCATCAATATTTAGATCGGTGGCTATTTTCTTGGTTTCGCTGTTATTGTGAATGAAACTCGTGCTAGAGATATATACTTAGTGTATATATATATATATATATATATATATATATATATATATATATATATATATATATATATATAATTTAAGAAGGTATTTTCTCTCTCAATATGCAGGATTTGTCACATGTACGTATAAATTAGTGATGAATGTATTTCTTTAATATAATTTCTGCAATTTTATGAATTATGCTAAATCTCCAAGTTTCACATAATTAATAAGTTTAGTGAAACTCCAAGAATATTTATGCCTGCTTTCAATTAGTAGATATTCTGATAAAAAACTTCAAATAGTTTCCTGCCATCTTGTAATGTAGTAACATTCATGTTAGTGCACCGTCTGTACCTGAGCTTTAGTCGGTGGTGTATACTGTGAGTACGTTTCAGTGCAAGTAAATGGTGTTCTACAAAGTGACGCAATGTGGTCGTTTGTTCTTCAATGAGAGCTGTTTGAAAGTGGTCGAATTGAAGGTTTTGGAGAGGCTGAATGGGCATTTCAGACATTATTGTGAATGTTGAATGCCAGATTTTAGTGCCGCCTTGACTTTGGCAACAGCAGATAAATATTCTACCATCCGGAGGCCAAGTCCGGGAGGATCAGATAGCGTATCTCGAGCCAGGTTTCCTTTTATATACCAACCCCCGCGTGCACGTGTGTAATGATGGTTACCTAACCGATTGGATTTGCAGTGTTCAGTTTCTGCTTTCATGCAACTGATATTCATTTATTCATTAAGACATGAACAAGATCCCTCACTGCGTATTCGTCCACACCACATCGCTCCAACCGCTGAAATCATGGCGTGTTGTATAAATGTTACAACACTAACTCGCATTTAGTGCTCGTAGTAGTAACACCTTTGGAACGAACAGAGTCATATATGTTTTAAATGTTGTTCAAACTATTCTGCTGTCTTTCTAGATACAGGAATATTGTGAACACTTCCGACAAGATAATGCCAGCCCTAATCATTCCCATGTTACTCCATATGTTACTGAATTTGTTAGACCACGTACCTCGCAAACACCAACCAGGTTACTATTGAACATTTATGAGGTATGATAGAACGACCCTTGACTCATTTACGCCGACCGATTTTAGGGTCTACAGCTTCCTTTAGATAGTCTAGGGTTTTTGCCTCAGTATGGATAGTTTTAAGACAATTTTTGCTAATCTAACAGTTTTCTTTCCACACTAACGCGCACACATATGCACACGCGTACACACACACGTCCCTCTATATGCATATATATGGGTATTTGCGTTTGTGCGTTCATGTATATATGTACAAATTAATGTTTACTCGAAAGAAATTATAAAGGACAGTAAATTGAAATCCAATCTGAAATCAACCCGAATACAAGTAAAAAGGATAATGAAATGTTACTTCATTGAAAATGTTTATATTTATATCAACGAAACATTTTTTCATTAAAACTTCTCAATAACAGTCTACGTTTCGGTGGTGACTCTTCCCGCTACTGTTGATGATTATGATGGTGATGGTAAGATCTAATTATAGAAAGTTTGCTTCCTGACTGAATCATTAGAAAAAAAATGATTTCTATTTTTATATCTATTTGACATACGGTGAAATTGTCAAGTGTTTTTGCTTTTTCCGTATTTTCTTGCGCTGATTTCTCTGTTTCCCGCGATTTTCTTATCACTTCCATACACCTGATTCTCTCGTCAATTACCTCTGTTTATTCCTTTCTATGCACATTGTAAGTTCTACGTTCCAGTTTGTAATTCTTTCAAGTTTTATTTATTCTTCAGCCGTTGTTTTTATCTTTGCCTCCGAGTCTATCTCGTGCCTCTTCTTACATTTTTTTTCTTTATTTCTTGAGGCTTTAATTTTCTATTCATGTCACTTTTCTCTTTTTCATTTTCAACTGAACTTTCTTACGTTTTTATTATTTGCTTTTACTTTTCTTTTTTTTTCTTTTACTTTTTGATTTGCTGTTTGTCTTTTATTTTGTTTTCTTATTTGGATTTTCCCACGTTTCTTTCTTTTTATTTCCTTTCTATTTTCCAACTTTACTTTATTTTTCTTTCTTTTTTCTTTCACTTTGGATTCCTTTTACATTTCCTTTGTTGTTTCTCCCTTTGCAGCTTTCATTTCCGTTTTTTTATTCCTACTTTTTCCTTTTTGATTTCTTTCGTTTTATCGCATTTCCATGTTTTACTCATTTGCGTAATTTTTATTTTATTCGTATTCCTTCTTTAATCTTTTAATTAATTTTATGTTTATCTTTTTCTTTTTTCCCTCCATTTTCTAGCGTTTTATTCAACTTTCTTTTTTTAAATCTTTTACATTGAGATTTCGTTTTCCTCGTTTTTTATTCATTTATCCTTTTCTTTTCTTTCTATGCTCTCTTGTCATTTTCTTCATTTTTCTTTTAATTCTTTTTTATTTTCACTTTTCTTTTCTGCTTCTACTTTCGCTTTATTCTCTTTTTTCCTTGAGACTTTCGTTTCTTTCTTTCTTTCCACTTTACCGCTTTTCACATTTAATATGTTTAGAAAGTTTCATTTTTACAAACTGCTTCTTTTCCCCCTTTCTGTGCATCTGTATATATATATATATATATATATATATATATATATATATATATATATATATATATTATATATATTTTTGTGTTTTCTCGTGGGTAAAAACTGGTCACGTAACCTATTACAACGCTAATGAGGAACGCTGTGGATGCTCTGTAGTTTTGTCATTTTGCCAAAGAAAATTAAGCTTAATTATATCTAAACAGAAATTCTATTACATTTAAATATATTTCCCAAATTTCCCTCTATTCAAACATTTTGGCAATTTCATTTTTTGATAATTCTTAGTATAGAAATGCAAAGAAATGCTTGTATTTAGTTCAACGGTGAATGTTTGAATTGGGGCAAAATCAAGTTGAAAATAACCAGCCAATTTTAGTCTAAGCAAAATTTATCAGAGTCAGTGGAATGCATTATTTATGCAACTGATTCTTTCTGTTTTCCATTCTTTATTTCAGTCCTTCCTCCATTTTAAAATTGGTCCAATTTATTCCCGAGAAACGATACAAGAGTAATATAAAAAGTTTATGTAATAGTTTCTCAAATTACTTTTTATCAACAAATCCTTTTTTGTATTTTTCATTCAATTCGATTACATTCTGATTTATTCTATCGCACGGATTTCCCCCAGTGACTTTTGCTTTACTCAAAATGTATTTTATTTTGTCTCAGTCGTTCACAGATAAAAATTTCCGTTAATGTATCCAACTTTACGATCAAACCACTAAGCGTTCACAAAGGAAGTACTTCGTGCTATTAACAGTTTGGAAGATGAGGATGCAAAACGCTTGTTTAGATACGAACAGATGTTGTCAGTTTTGACTGTAGAATAAAACTTCTCAAAGAAGCTCTTTCTATTTTACAGCACACAGTTTTTCTTTCGTCTTGTAAACACTCAAAGCACAGGAATAATTTACATGTCAGAATGTCTCTGCTTGTTGGATTGGCATTCATTCTTGAGTGCGAAACTTTGGCAAATAAAATTTGTAGCAATTTAGAATTTTCAGCACAAATATATGAATTGAAAAAAATTCCTTGGCCACAACATTAAAGCTTAGAATATCACTGATATTTTAAAAATAATTTCTGATTTAAAATTTTATTGAAATTTGTTGATTTAATAATTAGATGATGCCATTCTCATCTTCTTGTATCGTTTGTTCTATTCAACATGCCAGAAAAGTAGATGCTTCACAATTTCAATTTCAATTGATGAACAAAAATAATACACGACTTAAGGATTATTCTTATTTACTTTTATTCTTAATCTGGGCGTGGAAATTTCTTTTGTGTTTTCCTCCGACATTTTCACTCTGATCCATTTAGAGCCTCTTCAACCTTAGTGTCATTAACTTGTCTTACACACAGTTTATTAAGGTCCGGTATTGTGTGCACGCATTGCGTCAGGCTCGCTCGCACGCTCGATCAACACCTCAGCTCCCAGCGAGTGGTTTTGCCCAATATGGCGGATAATATCGCCATGGTTAGAAGCTAGAGCCATAGTAGCAGCCTCCAACAGTTTAAAATGAAGAATAAACTGTGCTGAGAGAAGCAGCATGGTTATAGGCTTGCATCACGGCGGCCTCCCTAGCAACGGTCGATAAATTAGGCGACGTGGTGATGGCATAGTGGTTATGACATATGGCAGAAACACAATAGTATAGCAGTTCGCTAATAAAAATAGAGACGATGAAATACTTATCTATCGAAATGAACTATTTCAAACTCTCTAATGAATTTCGATTCTTTCTTCAAATTTCTAATGTGTGCATGTCTAAATGGTTCTAATAATGTACACGTATGCGGGAAATGAGTGGGTATATAAGTTAAGAGATATTAGTAGATTACAATCAGTCTCAATGCAAAAAGCATTAATAAAACCAGATAGTTTTAAAGAAAAGCTGTTAACATGAAATACTAAACCAATCAGTGAAATCTAATCCACGTTCATATGAGAGTCCAGTGATAACTTATTTTAGTTCGGAGCTCAATTTCAGTCAACCATAGTTTATATGAAAGCCCCGAACTACGCCTCTATACAAACACACACACACACACACACACACACGCGACCCCCCCACATATATATGTGCGTGTGTGTGTATGTGTGTATATAGATCTGTGTGTACATATATGTGTGAATGTATATATATATATATATATATATATATATATATATATATATATATATATATATACTATGGTTCAAAAGTTTTAAGCCATTGCCAGAATTAGCATATGATGACCTTGACAGAAGAGTAAAAACAAAAACGAAAAGAGGTCTTAGAGTCATTAAAAAAAAGAATGGAATAATTATCAAACTTTCAGAAACTTTTGCAACGATTGCCAAAAATTTGTGCTGCAGTAATCAAAGATAAAGGGGGATATTTTGACGAAAGCAAAATTTTATCATAAAATACTTTTTTCTTTTTGTCATAATAAAATTTCTAATAAAAATTCATGTCTCACATTTTTTTAAATATCTATAATAATTTTCTCTCATTTAAAGTACAAAACAACTACTGTTTGTGCCAATTTAAAAAAAAAAATTCCAGGAATTTGTCTCAAAACTTTGAACTGTTGTATATATATATATATATATATATATATATATATATATATATATATATATTTATATATAATTATTTACCCCCAAGGGTTTAAAGTGGGGTATCCGAGCCCCGTAGGATCGGGCAAAAATTCCCTACAGACCACGTAAAAACGGAGTCGGTTTCCCGAGACGAGACTTTGTTCTTCGACAGCCTTCTCTGGGAGATACTGTCTGACATAAGCTAGGTAAGTATATATATATATATATAAGTATATATATAACAAAAAAAAAATTGTGTAAGTTGAGATTTATACGATTATGTGGTGGATTCTGTAGATACGGTCAAATATTGGCTTGGATGTAAAATTCAATTTAGTTAATTAAAGAAAACATAACCTTTCACTTAATTTAAAAAATAATGAATATCTGAGAAATAAAGCTTATTTTCAGTAAATAAAAAAAAAAAAGCAGTGTTTATTGAAATATTTACGGATTAATTTGTCAACCTAGGATTAATCTTTTGTCATTGGAGTTGCATTTTAAGATTGTGTCATAGATTCAATAATAATTATGAGCAAACTCGATAAAATTAGAAAGATTTAAAATTCCTGGAAGAATATCGAAATTGGTATTTTGGAGTGTTTCCGCAAGCGATTATAACGCCAAAAATGTCCCTGTAGGTTAGAATAATGAAGGTAAGAGAAGAGACAATTAGAGAGTGTGATGAGCAAGGAAGTGAGAAAAATATTGCAGCAGAGAGAGTAATGTGAATGAAATTGGAGAAATCGAGAGAATAAGAAAAAAATGAAGAGAAACGAGGAAGAAAGGGTGAGAGAGAGAATATGTTAAATGAGAAAGAAGAAAATCTATTAACGGAAGAAATTAATAAATAGAAGGTAGATAGAAGGAGAAAGATAGAGAGAGATAGATAGATAGATTGAAGGTAAAGAGAAGGTAGAGAGAATGAAAACGAGAGATAGATAGATTGAAGATAAAGTGAAGGTGGATAGAACGAGAGAGAGAGAGACGGAAATTAAACATAAAGAGAAGGTACATAGAACGAGTACGAGATAGATAAATTGCAGATAAATAGAAGGTAGATAGAACGAGAAATAGAGAGAAAGAGAGAGATTGAAGATACAGAGACAGTAGATAGAACGACAGATAGATAGATAGATAGAGAGAGAGAGAGAGAGAAAGAGAGAGAGAGAGAGAGACTGAAGATAAAGAGAACGTAGAATTTTTAAGCGGTAAAGAAAGAGAATAAAAGCAAATTGTTAGTTAAATTTGAGTTCATCATTTTTTTAGGTTCTTAAACGTGTTTCGAAAGATGGAAAAAAATCTTCCCACCGCAATTAACCTTATTCTCAGCTCCATTAACTTCTGTCAAAAAGTACATATTAATTAATTAATTAAGTTGATTGAATGCACTTTCACTGATTTGTGATAGAATTTTCGTAGAACTAGTTTTATTCAACTCGTATCAAACGAAAGACGAATCAGTAAAACTGAATATCTCATTAATAAGAGCATGTGTGCGAATGTTTGAAAATGTAATTCAATGACAAGATTGTTTTGTTGCTTAATTTGTTTTTACGGGTTATCAACCCTTTCTGGTTTATTTAAAACCGAAATATATTTTAGACTGTAAGAATAATTCTTATTTTGAGAGTGAATACTGTATGAACAATTTTTTGGCGATAATAATAATTTTCGGATAGGTATTACTATTTAACCCATAGCTGAGAAGAAGATGAGGATTCATACCCTTCTCAAGTGTTCATGTGAATGTAACAAACCCGACTGGAATTCGAAAACGGCTTTCTGACGTCTCATTTTCAGTTTTATACATTACACCATCCGTACACCCAAGCTTATAGCACATGTCATTCCAAAGTGGTCACCCATCTAGATACTGACCAAATTCGACGTTGCTTAAATTCAGTGATCGGACGAGAAGCGGTGTTTCAACGTGATATGTCCGTAAGCTCAAATCAGTTTAGAAACAAACGCAATTTACAAAGACTAATTGCCTTCCACAACCTGTTTTTCATATTTTAATTTATTGTACTAAAAACCTGTTGGAAAATTCATGAAGAGTTATTTTCTTTTTTGAAATATCTCAGAAGTACGGTCACACTCTTGGATTGGTGCTTTTAGTTTCAGAATTCAAATATTGAAAGGAAGTAAAGAACTGATTTTAAAAATGTCATTCTGAAGAGAGTGCACTGAAAATTCTCAGAACAAATTACTTTCCTAAATAAATATCCCGATTTTTTAAAAAGAGTTAACCCTCAATAAATATATGAAAAGATGTATTTACTGCGTTGAACAGTTGCATATGTGAAATAGATTGTGCTTTTTTTTCTGATCACTCTTACTGGTTGAACTTAATTACTCTATGTCTATTGGTAGCATGGAAATAGACAACATGTAAATTTGAAAATATATTTTCTCCTTTTCTTTGCCTGAAATAAAAATTGAATTAATCTATTGAAAACTTGACCTGAAGAAAAACATATTAAAATATCTATTGAATAACCGTGATTGCAATGAAGTAATTAGTCGCCATTTCTTTCTATTTTACATTTTTAATAGTTACACCTGTACTTTTCTCCTTTATCAAAGTGGCTTTTATTTGTACAACTATACTTATATCCTTTATCAAAGTGGCTTTTATTATATGCAATCAAAAAGAAATGTAATTTGATATTTGCTATGTTTTGTTTTGTCTATATCACATGGACAAAGAGTTGTATAACATTCCTGATGTTCCGAAAAGGGTAAACACTAAAAATTACTTAATTTTAGCTTTGTTTTCAGCGTATTTGTCAGGATATTCTCCAACCATTTTAATGTGGATAGAGATGGCTTTATTGCTTGCACATTTATAGTACATGGCATGAAACTTACTAGATTTTAAATAATCATAGATAATAAATATAGCAATAGAGTTATAAATAAGAAAACGAGCCATCTGTTCGAAAAATAAAGATATTAGTATATTCAGCTTCATTTATATAATATAAATGAAGATATCATTAGTTTCAATTATAGTTAATGTCATTGACTTGGCTAAATGTTTGTACAACACTGGTTACCAAACGTCTCTTGTAACCAATTTCTAGCGGAGGTAGTGCAGTGTTCACTGGACGCTACAGACCGAAATTTCAAAAGAAATGATTTTATTAGCATTTGGTTTACTGATTCATTTCATGTTACCTGAACTGTAAACGCTTTTCATAGACAATCTTAACTTTATAGCATTTTATTATTTCTTTAAAGCATAACCAATCTACACTCAATATCATAATTACATGCAGTTATAAAAAGATTGTCTCTTTTGGAATGCCAGTTTTTAAATTCACCTTAATACTTTTCGTGTAATTCTTTTACTGTTTACTGCTAATCTTTCTTAAACCAATAATCATCTAAGATGATTTTGATCTTTGACGAATTTTTGGAATTAACACTTCAATGAAAGATGCTAAAAACAGAGGTTTTAACAACGTTAACTAAGTTAAAACTTGACATAAAACTAACATGGAATGTGAAATAAGCAATCCGATGAATTGAACTCATCCATCTCATCACTTGCAGTGTGATGAGATGGTCCTTCAATAAAATCAACATTGACAATAGAAGAGGAAAACAACTCTAATAGAATTCCCATGAAAAAGGTCAGCAAGACATGAATCACAAATAGAAAACAGCGTAAAGGGAGTCGGCTCCTCTAAAACTGACTCTTTGTATGTGGGAGTAGACAAGTACCAGATACTGCCTAACCTATATCCAGCGGCCAATTTGAACGAAGACAAAATCATAATTCCATATGAAGAGGAGGAGAAGGCAAATTAAAGAGCAGGGACAATATTAGACAAAAACAGAGGTATATGGTATTTATGAATCGTACTATATAACAAAGTAAATTTGGTACTTCGAGGCGATGTAATGGTTATCAAACTTGTCTCGCTAGAACAATTATTTGAATAGCAAGTTTGATCCTCACTGGGTGACCTATACTTTCGGCCTTGTGTCACATCTAAGCTATGTTTGGAAAATCGCTATCATAAACAAGTGGTTTTTGTTAGTAATGCCTGTAACTCTTTTCTGAAAAGCCGGGACAAATACTCAATAGTCACGGGGACATTGAATTCTTGGACATTGTAAAAATGTGGGAAGTTAGAAAATATAAACATAAGAAATGGAAAATCCAATATCAACATTCTATGTGTAGATGAAAATAGATTTATAAACAATGGGGAATTAATAGGAGACGAACATAGAATCATATATGCAGGAGTAGAGAAAAAAAGGACGAATAAGAATAATATTAGATAAATAAAAAGGAAATGTGCAGTGGGACAGTCACGTGAAAGAAAAGGATTAAATGCGTTCCGGGAGTTTGGTAAATTTCGAACAGGATTATTCAATTAATACGGAAAGCGGCTTAATTCTATATGGCGATCATTACAGTTTATGCATCAACATGACAGATCACAGAAGAAATAAATAAGATTTACAATCCACTCGATCACATATGTCAAAATGAGGGTCCTCTGAGGGATACTTGGTCATATATGTATTGTCATGAGGGCCAAACAAGACAACTAGTTGTGTACATTACAACTAATTGGAGTCATTTAATAAAATTTATTGCAGAATATTTTTGTTACTTAAATATAGAAACACACAATGTGCCTACAAATGTTTTAGCAGGATTCATGTAATGAAGTAGTTTGATAAAAAAATATAATTTAAAAAAAAATAAAACATATACTTGCAGTTTACAGCAGTAAGAAATACCTGTCTATATTTCTGAGATGATATATTATGTACACTATTTACACTATTCGGACTATTGTCCTTATCTTTGTCGCTATATTTATTACAACGTTTCGGCCGTTGTACGCTCCGGCCTTCTTCAGGTGGTTGGAATGCCGAACTGAAGACATTATTTCGCTCACTGGGGTAGACTGTTCTAGTTCCACATGCCATGTTTTCTGCTTAATAAAATGTCTTTGAATAAGTGTGCTTTGTCTGGACATATATTTTCTGCTGTTTTTAAAAGGCATTGCTTTACAATGTCCTTCACTGTAAAATTTACCATTCATGATTTCATAGCTTGAAGTAACGAAGCGACATTCTGTTTCACTATTTTCATAAAAAAAAACTCTGCATCAAGTATGCCTTCAATTCCTTGAGTTTAGAAACGCGTATTGGGTCTTCATATTTATCATAAAATAGATGGTTCCTTTCATAATGTCTTTTCAGGTTGTACTGTTTTGGTGTAACGACGGAGCTGTGACAAATTAAACCACGTATCTTTTCATTCACCGTTGTGCAAAAATACCGTAATTCTCACTCGTCTTTCTTCGTTCAATTTTCTTTTTCTCTTACCTGGAGGAGCAATATTCATTTTAGGGTTGAAGTAGTAGAAAACATAATTATTTTCAAAATTAATGAAGCGGAAACATTACTGGTACATTTAATCTACAGCTAAGAATAAAATGAGATTAAAAAAAAAAAAGCTTTAAAAGAAAGTTTTTGTTTACAACTGATACTGCGCTGCCATATTGTTTTCATGGTGTGATGGCTGGTGGCATGGCTACTAGAGAGAATTTGTTCCTCCGCCAAAAATACCGAATATATGCTACAATTTTTTAAATAATAGCTTAGGACTGTACTAACTTAAAGTTTTTCGATAATATTAAAATTATTTTAAATAAATTTATGCAATAAATGATATTCTTATTCGGTATTCTATTAATTCTCAAATGAATATCCTTCGCACGGGCCTCATATGAGCTTGCAAAGGGCCACATGCGGCTCTTGGGTCGCATCTTCCCCATGCCTTCATGAGATAATGTCAAAAGCCACGGCAAATAATAAGAAATTATCATTATTGGGTGTGGTGATTTGAAAGTTCATGAAAAAAGCGGTAAATTAGGAACTGAATCGACTTACACATGTAGAGAAAAATGGAATCATTGATGCACAGCGAACAGTAAGTTAATAACCAACACTTGTTATCAAGAACAACTATGTCATTTTTGGATAGAGAAAAGACCAGTTGGTGGAATAAAAACAGATAGAATAACTAACAATTTGCAAAAGATCGAGAAATACAGAATTACAACCGACCCTACTCAAAGTTTAACTTTAAGCGTATTCACCTTCCAGTCATAAGCAAATATAAAGACAGAATTACAAAATAAATAAATACATAAATAAATAAATAAGTAAATAAAAATAACTTCTGAAATTCAATAGAACAAACTCCTGAACATTTCGCTTTGTAGCTAAACATATGTTTTTGTAATGAAGGATAAATGTGAAAGATTAGAAGGAGGCAGTAACTCAAATGGGATCACCTTACGGGAAACAATTGTGTCAAAGGTAAAACGTGTCATTCCAAGGGAATAGAAACAAAAAAGAAAAAAAGAAGTAAATAGCATTATATTCTCGAACTAATGGAAAAGAGAAAATAGATAATGCCAAGGAATGAGATAGAATATAGGATGTTAAAAGAAGACATTCGAAATAGATGAAAAGATCGTGTGCAGTGTTGAGTTGGAAACATTATAGATAAAGTAGGCATTCATAAAAATATAAAATAAATTGTATGAAAGAAAACTTACTCCTCAAGGAGAATCAAAATGTTTAAAAAAAGTGACGCTCATAATAAATAAAGAAAGAAATGGAATAAATACATAGGGAAGTTTTATCGTGAAAATGGAGGACCGAAAACCGCAATAGATAAAAAATAATGAAGGATCTGTAATATTAAAATCTGTCGTATGACTGTCACTGGCTAAGATAAACAGGGAAAAACATGAAGAAGAAATGAGATTGTCATAGAAATGCCGTTAGAATTAGATGGCTTGAAGATCGAGAAATATACTGAAATAGTAATTGGAATATATAACAGGGGTGAAATACTGGAAGAACTCAGTAGAGGCACTTTAGTAATGATGCCAAAAAATG